ATCTATCTATCTTTCTATCCGTGGCACAACAAAACCGTGCTCCACTAAAGCGCGCCCGATTAAACCGCGTCGCTGACGTCATCAGCAGGGCAACAACAGTGACCGCGGAGAAAAAAGGGTGCTTTAAAAGCAAGCCGATTCACGTTAAGGTAAGGGTTAGGGTTAGGGTTAGGTTAAGCGTTAGTGTTAGGTTTAGAGTTAGGTTTAGGGTTAGGGTTAGGGGGGGTTAGGTTTAGGGGTTAATTTTAGCTTTAGCATTCGCAGCGTGCTTTTTTCGTGGCGCTGTGATGTCAGCTATGTGTTTTCGTCGAGCGCGCTTTAGTCGAGCGCGGTTTTGTGGTGGAACCTATCTATCATCTATCTATCCTGTCAGTATCCCCTTAAGTCTTGTATCCTATCTTCCATGTCATGTGATAGCATAGTTTTGGAGGGCTGTCCGTGCTATTTGGGGGACAACAGGTACCATGGTGCTCACAAATCCTGTGCTTGGATTTCCTGCCACCCTGCCCAACCAAGAGCTTTTTACTTCTTCTGGTCAAAGCTTTAGAGTCTGTGGGCTACCAGACAAAGTCAAATCTTGATATTGACCCACATTAATACCATTTATAATTTTCTGTTGATCAGAGTGTTAGAAACTCCACCTAAGCTTCTGACAACAACTTTATTCTAGCCTTCCTGTTTGCAGAGGGAATGGTTAGAGAAAACTAGGGAAGGCTGGGTGCAAAGCAGGGCTACCTGTGTTTCAAGTAGCAGTGGGATCATACAGTTCACAAAGTCACCCAACTAAGCAACTTGTGAGGATGTTTGAGAACTACAATGGTTTTATGTGGACCATAATCAGCTTTCCTTCCCAGAGTGGGCAGAAGAGGTCACTAGCACAGTCAGTAATCTTTATTCTTCTAGATCTTCTTCTCTATTTGTTACAAGCAGAATTTCAAACAATGGCCTTTGACACATGATTTAGGCAAGAGGTGTTAATATGTTGTGTGAACATGTTAATGCTAGCTAATAGAAGGAAGGTTGGAAGGAATTAACTAATTGTCCTCAGTTAGCTATGTTGCCTAAGGATAACAGCATTGACAAATATTGTCCCCTTGTTCAGTTGCTGGAACTGTCACAAAGTGACAGAAGGAAAATGGGGCTTTCTTGATATTTTGTCCCTGTTTTGCTTTATTTCATACTTTAGCAGCATGTGCTGAGACGAACAAGGAACAGAAAATGGTAGGGAGTAAGCAAACACCCCCCAGTTCATTTCCAATTCATTTTAATTTTTTTCAGCTTTAAGAATTTTGGCAGGCTTAACGCCTCAAGTGAGGAGCTGCCTCTGTCAAAGGGAATGGAGTGAGATAAGAGGGGGGGATGCAGCCTGAATAACATAATCTGCAGGAAGAAATAATATAAAATGGGACTCAATTTTAGTAATGGAAGAGAGTAACATTTTTCATAAGAACCAATTATATTGTTCTTCACAAGAACAAATGATTATCTTTATTCTTCACTCAATAAAAATAACCCATTTAAGAGACAGCAGCGAGGATTCAAGTCTTCTCTCTTATTCTCACGGATTCAGTAAAAATATAAATTAGTGGGACATATCAACCGAAACCCTTTTCAGAATAGAATGATAAGAAACCAGCCTTCCCCCCACCTCTTAATCGGTCAAGAATAAAGATGATAAAATTCCTGTTAAGATCAGACAAACTACTGTACTGTACTGCAGCCCCTAATTAGACCAAATCCTACCAGAAGGCCTCTCTCCCTGGAATGAAAAGAGCTAGAAAGATAGTTGGTTTGTTGCTCATCCCCCCGCCCCCAGACAACTAAAATTGCATCCGGGGGAGTGCTATACATGAAGGAAGGGAAAAGCAGAGAGTTGCTGGTTGTCCTCACTATCCCTTGTATTCCCAGGGAGAGATGCTGCCTGCGGCCCTGGAGAAATACAACCCTGCACAGATGCTGCTAGTGTCATGCTTGAAGGTGCGATCAGTTCCATGCCAGCGAATAAAGAAACGGTGCCATCTGGATCACCTCTTGGGGGCCTTTCTTCTTGGGGGTCAGAGTCCGGCAGGCTGCCTTCTGCCCCCTGCTGGCTGAGATCAGGTGGCAGGATATCCAATTGGCCACAGGACAGGGATTCCGGCATCTGTCCTGCTGGTTGGAACATGTTGCTTGTGAGGCGCTGAGGGGCTTGGGAGGGCTGCAGCGACAGGTTAATGGGCTTCAGGAAGGAGTCTTCTGAGAAGGGCACCGTGTTTGTCAGCAGGTCATCGGCATGCTCCAAGGTTGTCTTGGCAGACGAACAGGAGGCAGCCACAAGCGGTGGGTTTTTGGAAATGGAATGGCTTCGGCAGAGGGCTTCACACTGACGCAATATCTGTTTAAGCGGGATGGAAGAGAGAAAAAAGATATTGACAAGAACAACAAGGCAGTAGGTCCATGATGGCCAACCTATGGCATGTGTGCCAGAAGTGGCACGCAGAGCCATCTCTCCAGGCACACGAGCCGTCATCTGTTGCTCTTCTAGGTTCCGGCACGCCGGCCAGCTGGTCTTCACATGGGTGGGAGCACCAGAACCCGGAAGAGCAGCTGCCCAGTGCGCATGCACATGCCAGGAAGATGATCTTTCCATTTCCAGTGCATATATGCACTCCAGCCAGCTGTGTGTGAGCATGCACACAAGAAACCAGGAGAACAGGTGGCTGGTTCACATGCACGCACCAGAAACTGGAAGATCATCTTCCCAGTGCGCGCATGAGCACCTGACAGCTGCTTTTCTGGTTTCTGGCGCACGCATGCGCACACACACACACAGACACACACACCTATTCGGTACTTGGTGCTGAAATGGTTCGCCAACACTGCAGTAGGTAGTAAGAAGAGTTTCCACCAACACTTAAGAAGGCAATCACATTCAAGGAACTTATAGAGACACTTTCCCACACTAGATTCATTTTCACTTGTTGCTGTTGTTCTGTTGATAAGTCATACCTGATGTCGCAACCCCACGGCCCATAGCACGCCAGACTCCCCTGTCCTCCATTGTCTCCTGGAGTTTCCCCAAATTCATGTACATTGCATCAATAACACTATCTAATCATCTCACTCTCTACTATCTTCTTCTTTTGCATTCAATCTTTCCCAACATCAGGACCTTTTTCGATGAGTCCTCTCTTGTCATTAGGTGGCCAAAGTAGTTACGCTTCCGTTTCAGTATCTGTCCTTCCACAGAAAAGACAGGGCTGATTTCCTTTAGGACAGCATGATCTACATTATTTTATTTTCAGTTTGAGCATCTAGCTTGAAAAGTGCATGTATCAGTAGATCTTCTATCCCTCTCTTTATTTAATATACT